GAGCGTCTGCGCGTCGCCCGAGCCGCACGCCACGTCTATCACACGGTATTGTGACAAAGACTCCACCTGAATAATGACAATTAACTTATATATTTTTTTTGTAATTAAAAACACAAAACATCACAATTTAAACCTAACAGGGATTGTATTCTATACTAAATTAGATGATGAAAACCAGACTCGTAGCAGATTTCTGAAACGAATAAACACATCTCTTCATAAGCGTCACTTACAATTTGACCAATGTTAAGATTTCAATGGATTCAGAGTTTAAGCGTGGCCTTATCATTTATGACATTGTTACACATTTAAATGTCGTTTCAGTATTTAGTATGACATGTTGACTGCTTTCATAGTGACACAAACACCTTAAAACCGTGTAATTTTTTTCAGATAAATATTTCAATCTTGGCACGAGTATAGGTGGGGCCATGGTTGGTGGTGTGTATATTTACCATCTTGGGCACGAGCTGGTCTTCAGAGTCTCCATGTCCGAGTCGTCCGTACCGTCCCTTGCCCCAGGTGTAGATGCGGCCGCGCGCGGTGAGGCAGGCGGAGTGCGCGCCGCCGCACGCTATAGCTACCACCTCCAGCCCTGATAGCGTCGTTATCAACTTCGGACGATCGTAACTCCTGTATTTAAACATTATAAGTTATAATAATTTATGTGAATAATCACAAACATAACTTAGTTAAGTTAAGATAATCTTTTGTCGATGATGTTAATAGTGGCTCATAAATTTGAATCTCGCTATGTACTAATGTGAATTTTGTCTTTTCAAATTACGTATGTACATAATTTACCCGATGTTCTCACAGTGAAGGAAAACAGTGTGATGCAACCTGCACATATCGGTGAAGAAATTCAAAGATATGTCTGAAATCAAACAACCCGCAGTGGGTCAGCGTGGTAGACCTACCTTGTCACCCTAACTTAGGACGTGACCTGGTGATGATGATGGTCTTTTGTACAAAGTAAGGTTTAGCTTTCAAATTAACCAGATTAAACTGTTTGCCCGTATATAAATAAAATATCTCACACTCGATTGCCGTGCCCCAGCTTGCCGTCCTCACCCTCGCCCCAGCTGTACACGTCACCATCCACTGACAGAGCCAGGCAGTGCTTGCCACCAGAATTACAGGCCACCTGGTTCGATGTCATATTTAATTTATATATTATTAAATAATTGTATTTTTGCTAAATAATATTGGTATAAAGTTCAATACGTACCTTGGTAATAAAAACATGTTGAATTGACGCTAAAAGTGTAGGCTGTGAGACGGAATCGATACCTCCTATTCCTAATCGACCTCCGGCACCATATCCTAAAAATCAATCACAAAGTAACAAATGAAAAACATTCATTTTTCAAGCTAATATTATTGCGATAAATAAAATCACATAGCAGTATCTTTGTAGAAGGTACTCGGCGAAATAATAAAACCAAAGACATTTAAATAAATAGAAGAGGCAAAATTTATATTTCTTGAAATATTTTTTAAATAACATTTAAAAAAATTTATAACACTCTTTAGTTTATTTTATATCAAAAGATGGATCTTTTTATAATTACGTGAAATGTTTTATTACACGTAAAACAAAGACACGAGGTGGCATACTAAACCGATATAAAGTACCGGTAAAAAAATAGTTTACTATGTCTCGTTTATACACTATTTAAATGTCTTTAAAACATACCCGTAGCGTAGACTTTTCCATCGGGCGTGACCGCGAACAAAGTCTGCTCCCCGCCCACGAGCTGCACGGGGTTGAGTGCGGCGAGCGCGGCGCAGAGGGCGGGCGAGCGCACCTTGGCGCCCTCCACGCCGCCCAGCTGCCCGCGGTGGTTGTGTCCCCAGCCGTACACCACGCAGCCGCGCGACCCGCCGCACCACCACCCTGACCATTCCTCTGCGCGCCTGGTACAACATACGCCAAATTACATCAATCTCTATCATTTTGGACTTAAAAATATGAATTTTCAATAAATTATGATATTACATTTTTCGGACATCGATACTAATATTAATGCGAAAGTTTGAATAGATGTTTGTTACTACGTATATGTACGTCTTAACGGATCTTGATGTAATTTGGCATTGAAAACCATTTGGAAGGACATACTGACAAATTTCTTTTTTACTCATACTACTATTATAAAGATTTGTATTTTGTTTGTATTGAAATGACTTAAAAAAAATTAAGCCAAATTTATAAATTCTTGCACCATTAAAAAGCTATGTTATCAGTTAGTATTACAGGCTATATTTTTCATTATTATTTTAATGTGACGGGGACGAAGTAATGAGCAACAATAGTACCTGGTAAAGAGAAACGAGAACCAATATCTTCACACTTACTTATTAACCCAATGCAGTAATTGTTCATCATGTTGTTTCGTAAACTTGGTATTATCCTCCCAGGGTTGTTGTGCGTCTCCAGAGTCTTCGTTATTATAAACGCCGAGGTCAGAGAGCCGCTTGCGCACGTCAGCGAGGAAGGGCGCGGGCAGCGGCGCTCGTCGTAGCAACGCGTCCGCAGTGCGCATGCACAGGCAGTACCGTTTGAACCACGCCCACCGCGCACTCTCCGCGCCCGTACACACGCGCGAATCTATCCGTAGACCGCACGCGAGCCATGCTAACTCCTAACAATACATTAGATCGAGTTTATTAGTTTGTAATCAACTAAAAAAAAAAGTACAGAAGTATATATCTTACTTACTATCAGCATTATAAATGCAAAAGTATAGATGGATGGATGTTTGTTGGGTTCGTAGTCTAAACTTCTGTACGGATCTCGATGAAATTTCGCAAAGATGTAGAGGATAGTCTGGCAGAACACATAGGCTACTACTTTTTTTTTAATTCACGCAGACGGAGTCGTGGGCAATGGCTAGTAATATAGAAATATGCGAAAGAGATTTTTAGAGATATTTGAAATTTAATAGAGCAAGATCTTACTTTGAGGTAATGCGTATGCAGTAAATGTGTGCCGGTGCGCAGCGCGGGCTCCTCGTGCTCGTACTGCGCTTGCAGCAGCTGCGGCAGGCGCTGCAGCGCGGGCGGGGACACGCCCCCCGCGCCCGCCTCGCGCGCGCCCCCCGCCCCGCCCGTGCCGCACACCACGCCCCGCAGCCGCCGCACGCACCACACACGTGCGCGCCACGCTGATACAACACAATATTTAAAACCTGTCCCATCACAGGCTGATAGATGCTCAGATAGCTTAAAAATGACGTCTCTGTCAGAAAGATAATAAAATTCGATATTTCCATCACATATTTTACACATTGGATTGTTATCAGACAATTTGCAATTTGCAAGAATTTAAAATCTGCAGACAAAGAGTGACTTACTCAGTGTCGGCATTTGTGCACATATAGCGA